TAGCTTTTTTTTGATTATTATTATTCTGGAATTTCGCATAAATAAATGGTCGGTCAGAGGAGAAAATTAAAATAATTGATGTTAGATATATTTTAGAGTCTATGATCAACTACTATATAATAGAATCATAGAATCATATTTTTGTTTAATGCATTCTTGTTCCTTAGGCAAGTCCTGTTTCAACATAGACAAGCTTTGATTGAACAGCTGAAAGTCACAGAAGATCCAGCTCTTGTTCTGCACCTGACATCAGTACTGTTATTTCAGTTTTCAACTCACTGTATGCTTCATGCACCAGGAAGATCAGTACCACAGATCATTAATTTCCTAAGTGGCAAGATCCCAGAGGTATTCTTTTCTAGCTTTTTAAGGAGAAATTACCTTTTATCTATGGCAGAACATAAAAGTTGTGCCTGACACTATTTCTACTGCATAAACCTGGCACTGTTGCATTTCATATCTGATCATTACTTTATGTACAGAATGTGCAATCCCTCTGATCTGTACTGTATTTCAAACATTTCCTTTGATGATCTGTCATCAATATTTTTTTAATAAAATTAAAAGTCAATCTGTTATTAGTACTTTGCTGTTATTCATAGAGGCAGCTCTGTATTGGGGGAAGTTACAGTTCTTATAACTGAACATTTTTACACTCTCTTTCTTCTCAGCTATAGCATGGTTGCTTTTTAAACTTTTCTAATTCAGTTTTAAAGAAAGATACACTACTTCCAAAGCAAAAATACTGAAATTCTATATTTTATACTGCCAAAACTGGTGATGTTTACTAACTGCATTGCTTTCCTGCTTCAGTTTTTAAATGTCCTGTTTTTGCAGCATAGATGCACTTTCATTTTTCTGCCTCTTTGAATGCCTATCAGAATTTAGGTTGTCAAATACCTTGATGAAAATATGTATCACTAACCCTCTTTGGGTAAGAATGGGGAAATACTTTTTTTAAAATTTAATCTTTAATTATAGGCCTGTCTACCTGCTCTGTAACATTGACATCCCTTTGTTTTGTTCTCTTCTTTTGCCCTCAGGATCAACATTCTCTGTTAGTCAAATACCAGGGATTAGTGGTGAAACAATTGATCAGTCAGACTAAGAAAACTGAACATGGAGAGAGTGACACAACAGATAACAGGGAAGAGGAGGAAGGAGCAGATACCGTTCGAAAAGAGCTCCAGGAAATCACTACCTCTATCAAAGATGTTGTTCTGAGACCTAGGAAATTTTCTGTAACAGAGGAATAAAATTATTATTCAGTGCATCTACTTCCATGATATAGTCAGATTTTATTTTCTTTATTCTGTAGAAAAGAACAACAGAAAATGCTTGACAGACTTTAAAATTTGGCTTCTAACAATTGCAAATCACAGCCAGGGAACGCAGTTGCTGGGTGATGGTGGCAAACAGTTTTATTATACACTACTACAGTGTACATTTAACACACATTAAATGTAGATGTGGCAGAGCACAGTTGTGGACACTTCAGGTATTAAATTAGTGGGTTCTAATTGGTATCTTCACGTGAGGCCTCAAGAGATGTTTATTCTTCAAATAACAGTGTATTTTGTTCCATACACACACACAGGCTAATAGTTTCACTTCTCTGATTTGGATTTATAGTGAGATAAGGCCTGTCTATCTTAATTTCAAACACTAGTTTTTAAACATATACTGATACCTAATATTATACCAATGAAGGCCACCTTTACTCTTATACATTGACTTCTGTTCACTGGACCACAACAGTAAAAACATTTGTGTGCAAGTGTTTATTGCTAAACTTAAAAGAAAGTGACCCAGTACTAATTTGAGTTCCTAAATGTACTGAAAACTTAGGAAAATCAGCACACTTACGCTATTAATGTATTCTGCTAATGTCCAAAATAGATGTTCATTTAAAACTTGTGATTCAGACAGAGGAGGTGATTTTGCACTGGTATTTTGGGAGCAGATAAATACTGTTACACCTGCCATACTGTACATGCTAGATGTTCATTTAGAAGGCTTGTTGAGTGCTTATCCAGTTCCCATAGCAGTTAGAAGCATTTGTTTGCATTCTCCAGCTCCTGAGAGAACTTGCGGTGTTTATCCCAAATTTCTTGAAAAGAATTTATTTTATGATCTTTCTACGTAAACTTCATAGACTGAAATATTGGCTACAGTGTTTCCCTCAAGTTTTTTACCAGCCTTATTTTACATTAGCAGTACTTTATATTTTCAGGAAGTGCAAAAATGTGTAAAATAGAGTTCTGCCACTATTAATGACATAATTCTTCTATGGCAAATATACTTCTAACTTATTTTTAAGAGAAGATAATTTTCAAACGGGAAATACTTAAGTTGTATTACTTCAGTAATGCCCATTGATTTCATGTGTGTAATGACAGGGAGTTGCATAAAATCAAGCTTGAGTAATAAGAAAAAGTTCACTAAAAATGTCGTTCACCCATTCTTGCCAAAGTTGATGCTGAGAGCAAATTCTGTGCAAGCCCTACTCTGTTCAAATATTTCTGTTTTCCAACAATTCATGTATTCTGTGAGCTTAATCATAAATGTACCCAAGCCTGAAATTGCAACAAATGGCAATTGAAGAGGCCAAGTGTGAAAGCTCAGTAACAGAGTAACCAAGGTTAAGATTGTTTTGGTGAGGTAAACAATAGCATTTTATACATATTTAAAAGGTGTTAATGTTTAACAATGTCAATGTTGATCTTTTACCAACTGCAAGGCAAAACAGTTTGCAAGTTGTAAGGCAGAAGTGAAGGTAGTTGTTTCTCTTTCCTTGGCTGGAGGTTATCTTAGCTGACAGTAAAAGACGAGGAGTATAAGATGAAAAATATGCAGGTTGTTTAACTTCGTTTAAGAAATAGTTTGCATACAAGGAATAGGTTTGATTTCTTGTTATTTAGCCAGAATAATTATTAAGTTCCTGTAAGGAATGTAAACAATTTTATATGATATTGAACTATTTTTTAAATAATATGCCATATGAAATTCTGTATCCAAATATGAAATTATTTTAATAACATTAAATGATGAAGTATTTAAAGAGCATTCTGTTGACTTCAGCAACGGTTGATCATCTTGCAACTTGCGGCTTTCACACAGCAATTGGTAATATGCACCAATTGATTTAACACCCCATTTTGAGTGTCCCTCTGTTTTTGTTTGATATTTTTATGGTGGAATAATAATGAACTTACTACAGAATTTACTTTATCATAAGTTTGACTTGCTATATTGTAGCCAAGGTTATAAGAATTAAGAAGAAAAAAATAGATTCTTTGAAGTAGATACAAGGGAAGCAGTAAAATTTAGAGAATTTCTTCTGACTACTAACACAATTCAAGGAGATATAAGTTGGAAAACTTTCACAGGTATTTTTGTTGTCTCTTAAATTTGGAAATTCAGTCTTTAATTTATAATATAGAAGTATTTTGGAAGAGAAAGAAAAGGAATGTTCACAAAGTCCTGAATATTTTCCTAATTCATGGGGGTTTTTTCTCTGTAGGAGAAATGTATGCAGGAGGAAGAGTAATCTTGTCTTACAAATCAGAGGTGCAATTCACAAAACAAAACTGCCCTTTGGAATATCTGGGAAATGAAAGGCACTACAAAGTATACAAATTAACAGTTCTTTGGTTTCAAGTATTTAGTGTCAGCCTCTCATGCCCTTCACCTATGGTATTTAAACATCTCCATTATATTTTTAGACTCATAAACCAATGTGTATAGATGCATTTATGTATTTATACACAACTTCTTGCAAACATTCATCTACAGCCTTGTATGCTGCTACTCTCAGCAGATTGGAATGGACGCGTTAACCATAGGTAGAGTAACACCTTTCTCAGCAGCAGCCTCGCCTTCCCTTCTTTTTAAGTGGCAAAATGTGGCTTTTATAGTTGATTACTTGCAGGTCTGCTGGAAATAAGCAAATTTTTGCTCTGTTACAACTTTCAGCCTTCTCTCCAACTCCCTTGTTTCACAGCTTCCTAAAAAAAACTTGGCACAAGTTTCTAAATAATGTCACTGGGTTTTGTTGTCTGCACGAATCCATCTTGCAGCTTGTTCAGATAAAACTGCAGTAGTTCTGTTCTCTGTGTAAGGTCATAAGGCTACTCAAGAAGTGGTTGCTCCTTGAACTTTTTTCTTCTATTAAGTAACAATAGGCCAAGAAAATGGAAATTTCTACAAAACTCGGTAGATATGGGGTTTCTCATTTAATAGGAAGTCTAGTACTCCTGCAGATGACCCTAGAGTGACTGTAGGGGGTCATATTGAAAGTCAGTGTAGCCCAGTATTGTATCTCCAGCAGAGGCCCAAAGTGGACACTTAGGGAGGAATATAAGAATGAGACATGTAATGATTTTTCCTTTGTGTGGCATGGATTTGGAGGCTCAAAAAGCAATCAAACTTTTTGGAAAACAATTGTACTTTTTAGGTACTTTGAGACCAGACTCTATTCTCTACTAGCCTAAATAACGGAACATATTCAGTAAATGCCAAAGATATTTTCTCAGGAAAACAAGTTCATTATTTTTTTCATTATTTTCTTTAGGAGTTGTTAAGGAATACCATCTATTTGCATTTTTCTTTTTCAATAGTTAATATTCTAAATTGGGAAGAGTAACTTCAGTAGTTTAAAGAGAACCACCATTTGTTTGATGAATTTCCCAAATCCTTAACATGAAGAGGAAGGTTGGTCAAGATGGGTCATGTCGGGAAACAGATAAAATAAGCTGCTTTCTATTTCTGGAAGTTCCAAAAGAGATGCGAGAGCTGCGGGAAATATCTAACTGGTACTCTGAAGAAACAGCAGAATTTTTGTTGACTTCCTCAGTTGTGCTTAATTTCCACTGTTGGCAAAAACTCTGATTCTGTTTTAAATGATTCTCTGGGCCTCTCTTCTATTAATGCAGTTATTATCTCTGTCTACTGTTAGCCAAATTTGAGGGTAGTCTTTGAAGCATGAGGAAAGTGATGTGATACTTTTGTCTTGATCTGTTTTATGAACTAGAAAAGGTACTTGGTTAAGAATTGTACTTTCAGTTTTCTCTTTCTGGAAGCAAAGGCAAGAGAAAACTATTCATGATTCTCATATTCTGGACTCAAATTCACACCTAACTTGTCCTCTCATCAATCTGCAAAAATCACAGGCTTGAAATAAAAGGTGCTTGGTATAAATAAAGCTTATAGCACATATAAAAATAGGAGAAAAGAGTTCAATCTAGTTTAAGTAATGATAAAATAAGTGTCTGCAGAGGTTTAACAAGACAGTCATACACAAGCAGAGATCATCAATTCTTGACAAAAATATTCAGAGGATCAGTCTTAACTGCAAGACTCTACTTAGACACAGATAACCTCCAGAACATGTCCAGATTTGGCAATTTTACTGAAGTACTCAGATAACGTAATACATCTTTAAACATTTAAACATTTCCTTCTTTCATCTATCTGTGATATAAAGCAGCTCCCACCCACTTGACATTATAGACTAAGTGATTCAGATCTATTGGCTCTTGGTTGTGGAAAAATCTGCCTGGAGGTCAGTCATGGTTCATGCCACAAGCAGCCATCCTTTTTTTGCTCTGCTTAACTTCAGCTGGCATTTTTAAATGGGCACATGTATCCTTACTTTCAGCTGTGTTTGATTAAAGATCTGCATGGAGTGTTATGCCAAGTGTAAGGACCTCTGTGTGGTCTGTGCATGTGGGAGCCTGTCTGTGAAAGTTAGCTGGCCCCTGCTGTGTCCAAGCACAAAGTAAAGGGGGTGACTGCGATTCAAAGGCCAGAACTGAGAGAGAGCCTACAGAAGGCCATTGCTGCCACTCTGGTGGTATCGCTGTATGAGCACCTTCCTGCTTGCTGGAAGAGAAGCAAATTGATCCAGCCCAGAAACTGCTTTAGTAGTCTCAGAGAAGGTCTGCTGTGTCCCTGAATGTCTTCTCTGAAACTGGAGGAGGCTTCTACCTGCCCCCCATTTCCTGTACACAACAATCAGACTTTAGTAATTGGGACTTTTCTGATTTACAAACCCACATGAGACTTTTTGGATTCATTATGCATGAACCAAAGTGTATCTGGGGATGAATAATGTTCCCTCTTTTTTTATTTGCACTGAATAGTTTGGGGGCTGGGGGTTTTGATTCCTTAGGTATTTTAACAGAAATGCATTTTTCCTTTTGACAACTCTCAGAAATATGCTCCTTTAAGAACGTCCTACATGGTATGTATTTGCAATTTGTAAACACGGTATGTCAAAGAATGATTTGATTCAGTGGCAAAGCAGCCAGCTATTTGCATGTCATGAGGTCTAAGGGAAACAAACTGACTCTCAGCCTTCCCCCATCCAGCCAAATTCTGATGGGACCCTCAAATAGCTCTGGCAAAGTGTTCTGTTTCTTTTGGACTTGATGAATGCTTGTTTCTGTGAAGGCGTGTAATTATTTCTTTCTTTATTTTGCTGCACAAGTTACCAAGAGAAGCAGCTTAAAACAAAATGTGAGTATTGAGACTCTTTTCTGTTATTACTTTATCTGATAATCTTTAAACGTGGTAGTATACAAGGTACCTAATTTAATATTTTGAGCAAGTAAGCAGGAACTTTTTTCTCACACACAAAACTGCTAATTAAATTAGATGTAGAATCCTACACATATAACAATATTTTCTTTATTTTGTGTACCAAAAGAAATACCATGCCTTTCCTTTGGATGCAATTCTTTACATTGTATTAATTTGCTCACTCACTAATTTACAGAAAGATTATTTGAGCTTTCCTTTGTGACGGGACGAGGATGAATTTTGTTTACTCCAAAGAACAAGCCAACAAAAAAATGCGTATGCTGTTTCCTGTGACATTTTAAACCCCATTTTTATCTCCTTTCAAGCTTTCATAGCTATTTGCTTTTGCAAGAAAAATTCTAGATAATGTCTATCAAGTTAAGTCACTTCTTTCTAGCATAACTAATATTAACACCGAATGTGGATTGTTCTTGTTTTTTGTGTTTTTTTCTTTGGAAGTAAAACCAGTTTCCAAACTGATTTTTTTACAATATTGCTGGAAACAACAAGTATCATCTCCCAATCCTCCCCCCATAAGATACTTTAGCTTTCAGCTATCATATTTTTATGATCATAATTATGTTTGGAATTTGAAGGGAAAGAGTAATATTGAAAGGATATACCACTGTTTACTGCAACGGTGCTAGAAATATGTGTCTCTATTAGAGAATTAAAAAATTATGGGTAACAGTGGCAATAGTCCTTAAATTACAGTCGATATATATTAACTACTACGTGATTTCATAATGGCAGTCTTTTTGATAACGAGGTTTAAAATTAAACTTGGAGAAAACTATCAAATGTAATTTTCACTTCAATAATAAAAATGCTTCAAAAGATATTTCTTTAACCATCCCTATTTTCAAAAACAGGATGATTGTATATCTGGAGCTGGGCACAAAATCTCTTACATTTAGAAAGCAAGTTTCAGATGCCTTTGTTTTGTTTCTGTTCATATTTTTCTTCTTTTCATGTAACAAGTTGGCATTTCTAGAGCAACTGAACAGGCTGTAGTGGATTTAATATATTAACATTATAACAGGTTGCTGGTGGTCTTCCCATGTAATTTCATTACACTATTAGGAAAGTCACTTTGGTTCAAAGGTGTTTAATTGGTAGAAACTTTTGACGACTTACTAACCAACTTGTAGGATTAGAGGATAATGAAATCAAGAGCTACTTGAAAAAGCTTCTGATCAGCTGAGACCTATGGTGTATCCAGGTTATTTGCAGGCAGTCATAATTTACAAAACATGTATTTTTGGTTGACTTGCTAAGACGTGTTCTGTGGGCTCTATACCAACAATCTCAGCTTTCTTCCTTTATTTTCCATACCTGAGTTTTATTTCTCAAAAGAATAGTTTAAAACTTTTAGTATTACCTCACCATGGACAGACAGAAAGAAAAGTCTTAACCAACGTGCTTCCAAATGTCAAGCCCAAAATAAGAGGGTGAAATTCTGAACCTGTTTGAACAAACAGCCCTCCTGTCGACTCAAGATCTAGATGCCATAAAGGCTTTTAGATCACCTGGGGAGGAAAACCAAGCTGAGTTTTACTGCACACTTCCCTGCCAGTTTAGGGTAAAATGATATCTTATTGTCTAATTCTAAGGCACTCATAAAATTAATTATTTCCAGTTCAACTGTTCTATTAAAATCTCTAAAGCCCTAATTTTGAAAGTTGGTGTGGCAAAATGCTGCTGATGCTCCACTTGGGCTCCTGCAGCTGAATTCATTCTTCTGGGAACAAGGCACACAGCTCTTATGAGAACATTTTTTTTCATACTTGTTTTTTCCTGTAAAATTTCAGAGGGATGAAATAAGGAGAGTTTTGTGGAAATATGTGAACATTACTCAAAAAAACCGAGTTAATAAAATCCCATGGCATAAAATTCTGTAGCAGAGATACAGTGAAGGACAAGACTGTTGCAAAGGCTAACTAAGTTGCCTCAGTTGCCTTTATAACGATGGCTAAACTTAATTTCTGCTAGAAATCACCCTGGAGAGGAATCCTTTAACTACAAAACATGCCTTGCTCATTAGCCTCAGGAAGGTTTAGGTTAGTTTTTGTGAATATCCGCATTCTCTGATGCTGTGGAGTATACATCAGCTATTGTCCCTTCTTTCCCCTTCTTTGACTAAGAGTTTTCTTTGATTCTACTTCATCCATACTAGTATGTTACTTTTCTTCTCAGACATGGTTGCCTTTGAGTTTGAGTTTGTTCTAGGTCCATATATAAGGACTGGTAAGTTCTTGCACATCTCAAGGTACTGGATCTCAAGATAATGGATCTGAATACACTGCCCTAACTGGTTGCTGGCCTCACACCTAGAGGATTTATTGCTCAGAAAAATATTCATCTTCCTGTAAAATGTCTTTGTACATAGGTAGCAGAATTGATAACAAGAATGAGCAAGTGCCAGAGCGTAGTGTAGTTGTTGACAGAACATTTTGTGTAAGAATATTAATCATAACCTCAGAGTCATTAAGGACACTTGCAAAGTTCACAACCGGAACATTTTATCGTCTCGGCTAATTTTGGAAGTGCTTTCTACCTCTGGCACTGGAAGTTGACCACCTTTGTACAGTGCTTTTAACCACCCTGGGCCAGTGCTGTGGATACAGCCTGATGAGCAGACCCATCTGGTGGCAGAGGTGCACTGACTGGCTTCTTTTGTTCCCACTCTACAGGTTTGCTCTCTGACCTTGAGGAAGTCAATTTATTAACCTTTTCTGTAGACAAGTATCTCACAAGTATGTTTTAGGATTGCTTTATTGTTGTTAGAAAAACATTCTGAAACCTTTGAAAGGAAACCTATAAAATACTTCAGAGGATTAGGTTATAACTCTATTTATCAGAAGCCCAGAACAGTATTAGGCTGTAAATGTACTTATCAGGAGCTCAGTCTTTCTCAAGTGAGCTCTTCAAGTTTCAAATTCAGCCACATTATAATTCATTTTTGTATTAAAACATGCAAAATTGTGGCATAACTATAATTCTGTGAGTCTAGTTTGCATGGAAAAAAAAAGAAGTATAGAGAAAAAACTGTTTCATGCTGATCTTCTGATTGTCAATCTTGGTTTAGTTTGGCACTTGAAAACGGAGGAATATTGAGAAATATTTTAAATTAAAAGTTCAAAACTGTTTGGGTTAGTTGGATTTTTTAAAATACATTAGCAGAATTCTTAATTTGTTTAATCACTTGTTTAGACTTTTCACTGAACATATTTACCAATTTTTACAGAAATTAGCAAAAAGGTCTTGGATTGTATTTGTTCCTTAATACAATTGCTGCTGCTGTATTCCACTCTCCTCCTCTTCAGCCCAACATTTTTCCCCACAGCAGGTCAGAGTTATGGTCTCTGAGCATCGTCCTGTACTGAAACCAGTCAATTCCGTTCAAAGTGGTTGCTACATTCTTCACATCATCACTTGAATAGACTTTACTAGTTTAAATGGTCTTGTTCCACAATATCCTTGAGTTAAATAACATGTTCTTAAAATGTTCCTAAGTGTTAGAAAGGAATTTCTTCAATCTTATCAAATTCCCTCCAGCATTCTAAGATTTTAGTGATGATTTTTATTTGTCTGAATCAAATATTGACTGTCTTAGGTGTTCAGACAAACTTTAGTCTTAATTTTCCTTCAATCAGAAAAGGGCAATCCTACATTGGAACCAACTTTTAGTTTGTGTGTATTTATAATCATAGAAATAAATCCACTCTGAAAATCATAGTGCCAAAAGCAAAAACAAAAAAATAAAAAACCCAAACAAACAAACAAACAGCACCACCACCCCCAAAAACAACCAACCAAACAAAAAAAAACTTCTTCACATGTCAGGACATTACAAAAATCCCAGCAGGGCAATTACTGTAGAGTCAGTAACCTCTCACATCATAACAAAGAAAGACAGAATTCCATGGTCTGCTCATTGCAGGGTCTAATTTTAAATCATAGCCACTTTTAGGAAAATAGACTATTTTAAATAGAAATAAAATGTTTATTGGCCAGTTCAGAGACTTTAAGGCCAAAGGGAAATATTAGGACACCCAATCACATAATTGTTTGGCAGATTATATCTCCTAAGTAGGCGGACAGGTAATGCGAGTGGCTCAAAGGTTTCCAGTATGTGGCAAAGGCCACTGGCAGGACATGAACAGAACCCAGGGCTGAGTCTCTCTAAGGACTGGTTGATGTTGCTGCCACAGGATGTGAGGATTGAAGTTAAAATCGAGTCAATGCCGTGCTATACTCTATCTTGTTTGACAGCCCATTATCTACTCTACTACTCAAGAGGTTTTTAATTAACATTTTTTGCCTGGTTAATGGAGGATGCACAAAGCGACATAATTAAAGAAAAGGGGAAAAAAGATAAAACCACCACCATTTTTTTCTATACTCATCCTAATGACACTGTTGTATTTCCTCCCTGGTAGAGGACAAATAAAAAGCCAAAGAACTCCCCTCCGTGTCCTTTCTCCCATCAGCCCAACTCCTGACAAGATTTGCTGCCTTCAAAGTCCTGTTGCAAGCTCTCTTCTGAAACTGAGTTTTTACATTGTGAATCCATATGTCATTTTGCTGTGTCGGAATGAAATGTGCTCAATAACTACCAACAGTTAATATAGGACATGATGTAAAAGAATGTGTTTATCT